CTCACTCACTCACTCACTCACTCACTCACTCACTCACTCACTCACTCACTCACTCACTCACTCACTCTTCCTTGCCTGTTGTTGTCTTGGGGGACTTAAGGGATGGAGACAAGCCCAATGTTGGGGATCACCCCTACCTTGGACCTCAGCCCTCGATTTAACCTGTTTTGCATGATCTTTTTTCTCCTCCCTTTTCCGTATCTTCCCCGACTGCTTCCCATGTCCAATTCCTAAACTGTGAAAGCTGTGTTGAAAGGATGAAAGGCTAACTTTGTCATGAATGGCCTCTGGGAGCTATGGGCACCCTATTCCCATGGTTAATTGTCTAGCCCTTACCCCACACAGTGACCCTGAGTGGTGGATCATTAATCGTGCCCACATATTTCAGGCTTACCATGGCCAGTAATAAATTGTATCCTTACTAGAGGCATCGAGGCTTGCCACTTTTTAAACTAGCCTCACTGACTAACTCCTGTGGTCTACCAACCCTGACTCTCTTTAGAACAGCTACCACCACAACTACTACACCTCCTCATTGATACTTGCTATGAACTTAACCCATCCGGAATCATCTACCCAGGTTATAACTGAACCTCCAAAAGACCCTTTCCTCAACCTCAAAATCCTCGACCCAATCTTTGCACAATTGTCTCTATTTCCTAGATTCTCCTCCCTTATTACAACTCTTCAACCTATATTGCCTCCTCAGCACCACCACCTCACGTCCTGGCCCTTCTGCAATTCCCACGTCTACAAACTTTTTGAGTACTCTTTTAAGCCCAGCCGAGTGGGTTCGATTTTTTTCGTATTAACCTCCAGCCCCTTTCTCCAACTATATCAACTCTTCAACAATGCCACCAAAAACAGTTTCCTTCCCTAGTCGTCCCGATTTTTCACGCCTTGTCATCACATCCGAGTTCCAAGCCTATGCACACTGTACCCTGGGTAACCTCACTGGTAAACCTATCCCTGTCCAACCCCACGCTTCCCTTAATACACTTACTGGAACTGCCTCATCTCCCCATCTGATTGCCTTCTACCCCCAATCCCTTGCTCGTAGTTGTGTAGGGGCTAATCTAAGGCCTATTATAAGGGATCACCCTTACTTAGACCTCAGCCCTTGCCTCAACTAATTTTGTATGTTTTTTTTTACCCCCTTTTCCCTTTCTTCTTAATTCCCTTTTGTCCACTTCCTAAGGTTTGAGAGCCATATAGAAAGAATGAAATGCTGACTTTGTGTCAGCCTTGAACACGGTATTTCCTTGTTTAATCGCCAATCCCTTACGGCACTCGTCCTTTTTTCGATTTTTAAATTTATGCCAGTTTTTATGAAACTTACACCCTTTCATATACCTGTTCGCGATCCCTGAGGTCAATTTTTGACTTACAATCTTTCAAAAAGCAGATAAAGTTCAGAAAAAAAATAACACAAGCATTCTGATGTGATCTTTGTACAGATTTATCCGTAGTTGAAGCCCTTTTTTATGATTTCTTATTTTTTTGTGAATATATGAAGTAACCGATTAAGTATATGATATTTTCAACAAATATATCACTTTTATAGAAGGACAGAGAGAAATTGCAAAAACAAAATGGAACAAGCACTAGATTTTATCATTCATCCACAAAATGAACCATAAAAGTTTACTTCAGACTAATTTGACTATGCTACAGATTTTAATACCTACAAAGATGTAGTTTCGAAATATAGGTAGTTGATTTTTCCGTTTGTTTTCATGATTATTTTGGTATTAAAATATGACAAAGTATCCTGTCTGGCAAACCTATTCCTACCCAACCGCGCTTCTCCTTTAATATTTGTATCGGAACTGTTTCTGTTTCCCCGACTAATTGTCCTGTGTACAACAAGGACTGGCCAGACTAAAAATGACCTGATCGCCTGCCTCGTCGACTGGTGCAGTGGAAGTGCTACACTATTCCTCCCAGAGGCCAGCATAAGTCCTATACCAATAATGCCAAGATTAACTTCTGCAGACAACCTTTCCTATGAAGATTATATTGGTGAAGTGTCCTTCCCTTCCGACCATATTGACCCTTCCCCATCAACCAAACTCTCCACTGCCCTCAATGTGTCCAACCAAGTCATGATAGTTGAAACTGCTATGTTCAGTCGCGCAAGGAAGCCAATTATGGTGGCTCCCCTAACATATTTTACAGGAGCTGCCCTGCGTACAAGATCGAATTTGAAATACCAGTTCTCAGATTTAAAACTAGGCCTCACTCTACATCAGGCCAGACAGGCGCAACGACGAAGCTCTTGTGCTTTCAGCCTATTCCAAAACTACTTCGCTCCACTCCCCTCCCATCTTCTCAAGATGTCTCAATATCTCCCCCAGTATCTCTTCCATCAACCCCGA